TTCATGGAGATTTCCCTATTTTTGTGTTTATTTGGCTTTTTTTTTTCAAAATGTGTACACACCTAGAAACATTCATAAACGCCATATTTTGAACTGGATGTTGGCGTGAACAGTGTTTATCATGTGTATCACTTCAACTTATTACTTTAATGACAATAAAAACTAATGAATGAAAAAAAAAAAATATTATCAGTTATGAGAGCATTTTTGTTATTGCTAAAAGATACTAAACCAGTAGGAAAAAAAATCTTGACTAAACACTTTGACTACAATTTGAAAATGCATCATTATCCATTAGGAAAAGTCACTATAATCAGTAAAAGGATAAAGTTATCAGCAAATGTTTAAGTGATAAGGAAAAATCTGATACTGAGAGATAAATGATAACTTTACAGCTCTAAATATATTTCCTATTTCATAAAGAGAAATGTTATGCTTAACTAATTCAAAGTAATTTAACAAATACAATGTATTATAATGCATAAGAAAACAAAAAAAACTTACATTTTAGTTACTAATATTTATAAAATCATTTTTGACTTATATTGGTGTATGAAAAAATTAATGTTAATTCCTGCATTATTATCCTGCTGAAAAGAAAATGTTTATTTACACTAGTGAGACATAGAATGCCAATTATCTTAAAAATGAAGAGAAATGAATTGATAAATTCATTTTATTAAAACCAACCAATATCTTGTTTACTTTTTGACAAGGAGCAAAATTGGCCTGACCCTAATCTTTAGAGGGTAATGGGGAGAAATGCAGCCAAATAGGTTCTCTGAAACTAGACATCTGAGCCTCCAGCTTGAAGACCACACATGAACAAACCAGGTTGAGACCTGTTTATTAATTACCTCTAATTGCTGCCCTAGGCCACACTGAGTGGTTGCAAAAGTCTCTAACTTGACCTTCCCAATTGCCATATAGTAAACAATTATATATATATATAATCAATGTGGATATTTTTCTAAGTCCTATCTTCATTTTGGAAGGAACCTTTTACTAGTCTGTAATGGCAAGCCCCTCAGTTTGCTGCTGTTCCATAAAAGCTGTCGTCTTTTTTTTTTTCCTTTTAAACATTGCTTCATCTCAAAAGTTATTGGGTACAAATTAAAACCTAGTGAAAATAAAAATGTTTTACAGTTTAGAATCTCAAAGAATGATATTTTATATTATAAACATACAAACAAGCTGAAAAGTTCTCAGGCCAACTGATTTCAGAATCTCTTAGCCTGGTTGAGAATTTCTCAGGATTCCCCACATCCATATTGAATTTTAGAAGAAAAAAAAATGATACCTTAGTTGGTTTGCCTGCTTTTGAAAGATTGAATCACAAAAGCCAGATCTGTGTTGGTCTGAAATTTTTATTAAGTTAATATTTGGTTTGAAAGTCAATTTGCATATTTTTTTTTTTCCCTTACAATCATTGTGAAGTGTTTAAAAATTGATAATCAAGACCAATGCCTTCTGCTGTTGAGAGGATGGTTATCATTATCAAGAAAAGTTTGCTTTGACAAATTGTCTCAAATCCTGGAATACAGTGTGAGTTACTGAAATGAAAACTGCAAATTAAGAAAGTTATCCTCACCTACCTACAAGTCAACTAACAGATTCCCAATGTTCACTCTTCTTCTGAGCACACTGTTTGCTGGGAGTGGGGGGGGATATAATTAAGGAAAGAATCCTTTTTTTTTTTTGCTTTTGAGATGCTATGACGAACAAATCCAGTATGGTCATCCTAATAATCTGCTAATATGAAAGCATTTATTGGACTATTCTGAGGAAATCATTTAGAATTTTCATATTGCTTTGTGGGATGAACGCTTAGGGAGAAGATGGGTGCCATCAGCTAATTATGAAAATAATTTTTGATTCAGAACAGAATCCATCACATTGTAAGGTTCAGAGAAGTTTAAATAAGAAGATGACTTGACTTCTTTTTGATCACAGGAATGTGTGTGTGTGTGTTTTTTTTTTTTGCATAAAATACAAGGAAAAGAAATTCCTCAATTCTGATCAGAGACAAACCACACCCCGATTCTTCCTCCACCATTTAAACATTGAATAAAATCCTGACCCTGTCAAACTTGGGTATAGACGGCTACAATCTTTTTCTTTTTTAAAACTCATTTGACCTTAAAGCAGGAATGCACTGACTGGTCACAATGTGTTATAAATTTGGAGCTCAAAAATGTTTGCAGGAAGTGTCAGGGTAGGGGAGTGTAGAATTATTTGGGAATCAATGAAGGAAATGCCCCACAAAATCAAGATGAGGACCCCCCCCTCCACATGGCCATTATCAACGTGATTAGACAATTGGAAGTCCTCATGCTGTAGAGTAATGGTTAATGAGCTAGCACATTTTTGCCTACATGTTCTATTGTACCAGACAAAGTATTTGATTAAGGTGGTACATGAACCCCATCTCCACTTTCACTTTTTTTTTTTTTTTTAAAATCTCTCCACATTTGTCTTTCAACCCCAAGCAAAAGTCATAATGAAGAAAACTTTTTGACATTGTATCTTCCTTTATTCAAAGAGCTAAAATAGAATTAAAATCCCAAAATAAAAAGATTAAAAAGAGGAGAAAAATCCAAACAAAATATGTAAATAAATATTAAATAGAAAAAGGGTGGGTAGGGGGTGCTAAAGAATGGGTGATATCAATGTTTTTTTTTTTTTTTTTTTTTTTTATCTGCCATTGCTTTGCCTTGTCAAATCTCACCACAAATATTTATAGGCTTGGTTTAAAAAAAAAAAAAAAAAAAATCACTTGCATGTGGGCTTCTCGCCTGGCAGTCAACATATTTATAGCAAAGTCCAGTCTGCAATGATTGTCAGAGGGTTAACTTTCTTTCCAGACACAGATATTCTAACCAGCCTCTTGGGATGAAGCCAACAGAATTTGGAGCCAAATTAATAATCAGATGGGAGATGAGGGGGGGGTAGGGCTTTGCCTGCTGACCAAACTTTTTTTTTTTTTTTTTTTTTTTTTTTTTTACACACACAATTTCAGTATGGATAATTTTAAGTTTTACATTCAAATGACCTAAGAAAAAAAAATTAACATTTTTTTTTTTTTTAAGAGTAGAAAAATATTTTTTTTTTTTTTTTTTAACCTGCAGACAAAGAGGAATAAGTTATCTGCATTCAGTCCTTGATGTCAATCCTATTCTAAATAGAGAAAATAGGCATGAATTTATTTTTCCAGATCATGTGACCCACTTAAGTGTTTTTTTTTATCCTGAATAATATCAGGATGATTTTTTTTTTTTTTTTTCAAATATTTATTTTCTATATCCAAGAAAAGCCAGTTAATTTGGGTTTTTAAACACATACAAAAATATGAGGTTAAGGTATTAAAAAAAAAAAAAAAAAAAGAAAAAAAAAAAAGAAGAAGCTATTTAAAATTCTTGCTAAAAAAAAAATAAAGGAATTGTTTGGCAGTGTTGGTGTGAAATCGTTGCTTATCGAACTTAACAGACAGCAAAACAATTAAAAAAATTGTCCGCATAGAAAGTCCTACATTTCGAGAGACTTTGATAGATTTCTGCCAGATTTAGACAAAAAGAAAGAAAGTTCTGCCCCCTCCAGGTCACAAAAACTGGTAATCCTATTACTCAGTGACAGAAGTCCAATCCCATGCTGGAATGGACAAGTAGGGGTCACATCATTGTATAGGATGGGGGAGGCTGTGTGGGTGGGGTTAAGAGTGGGGTTGGGAAAATACACACAGCATTTAAGAACAAAAAAGTATTAGAAAGAACTAAAGATAGTTGAACTAATTCCAATGAAAAGAGATATCCCCCCCCAACCTCTCCCTTCCTGTACATCTTATTTTCTGCTTTTACATATTTCCCTAGGCCAACGAAACAGCGTGTTCATTCCTTTTGAAAAAATCCTTTTTTTTTTTCTGCACTCCATCCCCCCCAAACTTGATAAGTGTACATCAATAAGACAAATATATTGAAAGAAAAGGTGAACTTCAATAAGACAAACTTTCTTTTGAAGGAATCAGTAACGGAGAAAAAACAGCTTTGCAAAAATTCTGTGATGCCAATGCAAAACACTTGTCTTTAGAGATTTCTTTTGTTTTCTGCTTTTAAGACATCAATGGTATAAAGATTATGGAAGATCAATTTCTACAGTTTATGTTCCTTGGGGAGGGGGGGGAAGCCAACAAGCCACCGTTCTAGAAAGATGCAGTTTCCTCTAAGGGCAGAGAGGATTTTGTTTATTCCTGTTTCCTTGTAATCAGAATAATTACCAGTGGCAAAGCGCGCATGTACTAGCAAAACTTCTGATACGTTCGCCATCTGGTGGCTTAGAAGAGAGGCAGCTATTCAAGGGTACAAGAGGGGGGGGAAAGGTCGAGAGGGCATTGCTTGACTGGTGCCACTGTTTTTCAGTCAAGAATTATTTAAACATTTTCTAAACCAAAACATCCTAGCAGCACGGTTAAATAGATGAAATGAAATTTACACAGAAATTCCCCCCCTTTTTTGTATATATATATTTTTATATCACAGATAAAAATCTCGTCACAGAAAGAATAGTTGCACTTTTTGCCATATTTGTTTCTTGTTTTTCTTTTTTTCATTTATGCAGAAGTTAAAAAATGTGTATGTAATTGTTAAATAGGGTAAAGAATCGCCCAACAAAAAAAAAATAAGATAAAAATAACCTGGGGAGTGGGAGGAAAGTTCAGGAAGAAAGAAAAATTTGTCAAGCCAAAGGTCCTTATGTGAATCAATTCCCTCTCCTGTTTCAGTTTTTGTTTTAAAAAAAAAAAAAAAAAAAAAAAAAAATGAAAAGTCCACCCCCACTCTTAAGAAGAAGAAGAAAAGGGAAACAAATGTTGGTGTTGGTTTTACTTGATTTTCTTTCTTAACCACATTTTGCCATTTCTTTTCTCTTTATCGGACAGGGTGTGAGGCAAAAAAAACTCATTGCGGAAATAAGAACTTGATGACTCTTGTTGTTGGGTAGGATTGTGGTCAGGCTATAAGGAGCCAGAAGATAAAGACAATTGCCAGGAGGAGGAAGGCCTTTGATAAGATCTGTTCTTCTTCATGATGAGGAGAGCCTGCAGGAGCTGTTTGCAGAACCAGCAGATAAAGCATGGAAAGAAAAAGAAGGAAAAACAAAATGACATTTGCTAAATATCCAATAAGCAATAAAACAAAACATGAAAATAAAATATTGCATAAACTTTCTTCTTCAAAGAGTAATTTGAAGAAATGAGGTCATTTTTTTTGGTGGTGGTGGTGGGGGGGGGTCAAAGATCAAATCAACCAAAATATGATGATAACAATGACCATTATCATTGCTCCTCTCAAAAGGAGTTTGGAGAGGAGATGCCTGTTCTTCAAAATTATGCTATTTTCATAGATTTTAGGCATCAGGGTTTTCCAGTTTACAGATGGCTTACCCGCATCAGGGAATAGGATTTCATCAGCCATTTACTTTCAAGCTCAATTCAAAGTCATAAACCCGATTTGACTTGCATTTGAAGTCATTAGGTCTACAACAAAAATCTGCAGAATCAAACTAGCACTTTATTTCCTACTTATTTTAAGCCTTAACTTTTTCTTTCCGGCTCTGCAGTCATCTGGCAAATATATCTTGGAAGTGTGGTGAAGATATAAAAAGTATCAAATGAATAAAAAGAAATATTTGAGAATCAAGAATTCTTTGCCTGTTAATTCTAAACTTGAAGAGATTACAACATATTTCTCCTTTGATTCTGCTGTGCCTGCCACACTGCTTCGGGGGAGGGAAAGAAAGTAATTTTGGTAAGAGAGAGAGAGAGAAAAAAAAAAGAAAAGTGAATTCACTCACGTGGACCAGGTCGTACATCACTCCAATTGAATGTTGATGCAAAAAATCCAAAAGGAAAGGCACCAATTCCAAAAGACATTTGGAAATTCCCTTCTCCAAATCCAAAACCCGAGAAGGCCTACAAAGAAAATGGCAGCACTTTTATGGATACAATTCAATAAAACTGAAAACTGGGTATGTGAAGAAGTGTGTGTGTGTGTGTGTGTGTGTGTGTGTGTGTGTGTGGGGGGAATCAAAGGAGCCTGGGGGTGACTGCATTGATCTGGAGGCGGGAAGAGAGAGAGAGAGAGAAAAATATTTTATTTTATGACAAGTGTAGCAAAGCATCTTGATTCTGTTTTGAAACTGAACATTTTAACTGATCCTGTCTCATGTCAATGCAGCACATGGGTTAGTTTTGAATAACAAATTCATCATTATTATCTTTGTTGTTTGAAATATTGATCCTCAAGTGTGAACCAGATTTGGTTTGGTTTGGTTTATTTTGTTTAATGGCATATCAACCTCAATAGGTTATTTAATGCCGACAACATTTTTAGGACAGATTCGTATGAATAGAGTATGTATTCTTTGGTTTAGATTGGTTTGGTTTATTTTGTTTTACGGCATATCAACCTCAATGGGTTATTTAATGCTGACAAAAATTTTTATTGCTGGTAATATTTTGTTTTGTCCAAAACCTGTTTCTGGTAATATATTTCCTTCAAAATTGTATTGCTGGTAATAAATTTTTTTCAAAAAAAATATTGCTGGTAATAGTTAACTATTTGCCCATAGGTGGGACCCTAACAGGTGCTACCACCCCAGGTCAGGGTGGACTTGGGAACACCAGCAATTAAGAGGTGGTTCCATTCTCCTCAAAACCTCCTGATCAAAGGCCTTGCTGCTGGATGTAGTTTAACGTCTTACCCAGGATGCTCGACCAGATTTGTTTGTTTCTTCTAATATTACAAAATCAAATTGAATCTTTTCACAAGGTACCAACCAATCATAAGTAAAGCCGGAAGATGGGCGTGTCTTCAAAATAAAAGATGAAAGCAGGTTGTAATTTGCTGAATTTAAGGAACTTTGTCAGTGAAATCAAGATTGAATTCTCTGAGGTGGCAGTTTGTAAAGATGTTTCAGGAGAGATCCTATTAGAAATCAGGAGAGTGAGAAATGGCTTATAGAGAGAAGAAAAGAAAAACACAAAATCAATTCTTCAGAAAAAGAAATAGAAAAAGAAACAAAAATAAAAAACTGTTCAGTGAAAGAGAATAAAAAAAAAAGTAAAGAATTTATAAATATAGTGCCTTGAAAAGCTTGATAGCCAAGTACTACCTTCAAGATTTGAAACCAAAAAAAAAAAAAAAAAAAAAAAAAAAAAAAAAAAAGCAAACATCACATCTCATTATATGAGATGCAGGCCAATATTATTTCCATTGTGTCTTTGATTTCAGTCACTTTGTAATTATTAACTTACTGCCCCACCTCACTTATTAACCGATTCTTTCAAACGGCCAAAACACTGTGACAACAACAAAGGAAAATAGTCCAGTTATAATAACCTTGTGCCAGACTAACCTTTATGAATGCTGCTGCCATATTTTCTAATCAAGTATGTGTTTTTCTTTTAATTTCTTTTTATTTTAAGGAAAGTAGTAACCGGAGGCGGGGAAAAAAAAAAAAAATCAAAGCAAAAAAAAGAAAGGAAAGTTGACTGCTGACCTGAGACGGAACAAATACATTGAGTCAATAGCTTCGTCCATCGCAAGGAAAGTTGTCTCCCTGTGCCGCGACAGGAAATTTTTCTCGCCAGAGTTGATCCTTCAAATCTACAAATCAACCATTCACCCTTTCATGGAGTATTGCTGCCATATATGGTCTGGTGCCCCTTATGTTTGTCTAAAGGTCCTTGATAAGATCCAGAGACGGATATGCAATGAAATTGGCCCTGATCTGGCATCCCGTCTGCAGTCGCTCTCTCACAGATGTGCCGTTGCCTCCATCTGTCTTTTTTACAAATACTTTCATGGTAACTGCTCCGAGGAGCTGCTTTTGCTGGTTCCGAGACTTCATGAATTTAAGCGTTCTACTAGGCTGGCATCTCACTTACACCCTTTCAGTGTCGAAACTGTTAAATGTAGCTGTCTCTTTTACTTGAATAGCTTCATGTTTTGCACTTCTTGCCTGTGGAACTTCCCCCCCTTTTCCTGTTTCCCTGATAGCTATAATCTCCAACTATTCATATGTAATGTCAATCGACGTCTCCAGATGCCTTGATCTATCCCCTAACCTTCTCTTCATCCTTTCCTATATCAATCCTCTTTGCTCTCACTCCATCTCTCTGTATCCCCTTGCGTGCTAGTGGCTTCCCGCTAAACAAAAAAAAAAAAACAAACAACAAACAAATACATACATTGTGGTTCTCAGGTTCTGTCCGTTGGCCTGGAGGGCGTGGTGGCAATTTATTCCTGGAAAGAAAAAAAAAAAAAAAATATAGAAAATAAAAATTGAAATTTTTCACTTCTAGAAACAGACCTTTTTAAATTCATAAGAATAAAAACAGTTCTAAGGCTCTTAAAATGAATGGATGTCGTCAATTCCTAACATCTTCTTGAAGCCATCTTCACCACTTAGAATAACATTCCAACCACCCTTATGTAGATACTTATATCGACCATGCCAAAGTGAATTTTTCAAATTATTCACAGTGACAACTATGCAACTCCCAACTTCGACATCTTCTCAGGCATTTCCTACTCTGTTTAAGATTTCTTTTAGGTAGGGTTTTAAACTTTTCACCAGCTAACACGAAGCCTAAATTTTCCAGTATTCAGATTTTCCCTTTTAAATGCTAAAAAAGCTTTATATTTTTCCTTTTCTTATTCTTCATTTTTTTGAAGCTCAACTCAGATAAGTAGCTGTGTCTAATAATGCAAAAGGTATATTTTTTTTTTCTTAATTTCCATTGGCCTTAAGATTTTGGTGTAAAATTTGTACAGCAAAATTATATTTTACTGAACAAAGCAAAGACCCACCAAATTATTGTTAGCTTCGTCGAGCACAAGACCAAATGTACCAAACTTAATTTCCTCTTAAAAAAATAAAAGAAAAAAGAAAAAACGAAAATTATCCCAAATTGGGCACTGGAAAATATGCTACAATTTCACTCACAAATCAACAAGACAATTCTTTTCTTACAGACCAAAAGTTAGTCATTACATTACTTTTTTAAAGTGGTCTTTCTTAAGTCGACTACAGCAGTGAACTACTGTAAACCCAAACTGAAATTAATAATCTTTGATCTCAGTGGAACAACAATGTTCTGTGTGCGAGTTACACTATGACTTGGCCTTAAGTAAAGAAGGCCATGATAAAGATTCATTTCAGATAATTTAATGCACATTAAGAATTCAGTTCAGCATACAAAATTCTCACTAAAAATTTGAGCTTTCAAAAATGAATCTGCTAAAATCATAGTCCAGAGTTCCATGCATAACTACACAAAGTTTGGTGGTCATAGCTGTTCTTCACTTATGCCACCCATGACCTATAAGATTGTTGAGGTGTGATGCTGAGTAAGTACTCTTCAGGGCATTACTCAAGACAATTGAAATCACTTGAAGGTGCCAAACTTCTCTACATGTGACAGATTATACAGGGGTACATGGTACCAGTAGGAAGGGGTAATCCCTGAGCAGATCCTTTCTTGGGAAAAAAAACAAACAGTGGAGTTGTTTACTGTTATCTTTTCTATTTTTTTTTTAACTTGGTCCTTCTTCTAGACTGGCTGACAGTCAAGGCTAGAGAGACTGGACTAGCAATGCTATTTGACCCATAGCTGCAGTTTAGGGAAAGAGAAGAAATTAATTCATGCCCTCCCCCAATGACATAAGCGTGAAAATGAATTCAACAGATTTGTCAGAATTTGGTAACATTTTCACTAAGATTCAGACAGACAGATAAAGAAAAAAAAAAAAAAAAAAAAAAAAGGCATTTTATGAATGAATTATAGTAAGATAAGTAATCAGCCATAAAACTATTGAGCATTGCAGGTTGTTTATTTAATACACACATTTTCTTCCCCAATCCCCAAACATGTTCGATATATTTTGATATCACAATCTGACTTGGTTACTGATTTTTACAAAAAGGCAGCAAAAGTCAGAATAAGGAATGGTTTCTCACCTGGGATCTTTTTTGTCGTTACTTCCTTTACCATAGATAGGTGTCACTTTATCTTGACTGATTCCAGCTTTACAGACAGGACATACCTGTCTATGGGGACAGGTTTCTAACCATTGATATAAGCATGGCCAACTGGAAAAAAAGAAACAAACAAACACATCATCAACAGGATGTAATGAATTACACATTTTTCATGCCTTACCGAATGGGATATATGAAAACAGGGGAAGGGGTTGTATTATATACAAATACATGCTTTCCAAAATGTTTACTCTGCTTATAAAAAGAAATAAAATAAAAATTTAAACAGCAATATTTCAAATACACTCAGCTCAATAGATTGAAAAAAAAAAAAAAAAAAAAAAAAACCAAAGAAAAACAAAGCAGGCAGGTGTTGATAATTGTTTACCAAAAGGTACTTTTTTTTTTTTTTTTCCCATAGATTAACCCTTTCAGCCCTGCATTCCTGAACAATTTTAATCCTTCTGCCTGAGCTCCGGAGTCAAAATTTGCAAATAATTGGTATGTAAGGTTTCATGGTAGATATAAAAATAATTACAATTGTTAAACCCCCCGTTCAAATGGTAACTGAGCAATAAGTCATTTTTCTCTACCAATGTTCAACTGGTGGCTGGGCATTAAGTCATTTTTCTGTATCACTGGTAAAGTGGTGGTCAGGGCTCAAAGGGTTAATATATAGAAATATAATAAAGTCACATCAAATAGAAAAGTATGATAGATTAATTAAAATGTATTACCCTGTTTTTAGCTTCAGAAACATGAAGTTAATTTAGACTTGGGTTGTATCATGCACAAGAAAATATGGTCGTATTAGTCATGTGGAGACACGTACTGATAACTTCTGGCATCTCTAAATATTGGCCTTCAAAATACTTCATTTTTGAATATATGAGAGTCAAGAGATATTTTCAGGAGACATTTTTTGTGGGAGTGGGTAGTGAAAATGGGAGTCATATAACAAATAGAATACTTTGAGGCTTTCAACCAGAGGGGGGAAAAGGGGGTCAGGTCTGATTTTCCATATCATGACCAAATGTAATTACTTGGTAATATGAAACAAGATTTTCTGAACATCAAACATTTCACATAGGGAGAAAAGGGGAGGAGGAGTTCAAATTTGGGCTGTTAAGATGTCTTAACAGAAAGAACCAAATTTTATTTGAAGAGACGTAAGTGGCTTCATTTTTTTTCTTTTATCACACATTTCAAAATTGCATAAAATGATTGGAGGAGTATCATTCATGAAGAGAAAACAATGGTAAAACCTGATTGAGAAATAAAATGGCTTTCATTAACATGGCTGAATTCTATTCAATTTACAAAGACAAAGTGTCACTAATCAGTTTACAAGGAATCATTCAACATCAGTCTATATCTCTGAGATGAGGTATTATGATTATTTACATTATTTGGACTGTTTATAAAAAAAAAAAAAAAAAAAACTTGGAGAGTTGAGTTAAAGGGAAATAACTAAGACATCTGGAAGAGGCACAGCACATGGAACCAGATCAATCTACCCCAGTGGACGAAACAAATGGTTCAGTTCAAAATTCCAATCACCTGAAAAAGCCGGAGCATACAACAGCCAAAACATTGTGAATATGGCAATGAAGATGAGGATAACAGTCCGAATAATGTAAATAGGAATAATTCATTTGAAAGATCAGGGATATGTGTCCATGCGTGTTTTTATATATATAAAAAAGGCAGCGTGTGTGTGTGTGTGTAACGAATGCACGGCTGCAATTTTCGACACATTAGCACCAAAATTTACATGCACATGCTCCAAGTTAGCGGGAAGGCCAAGACCGACTTTGCATTTCCCAACTCCCATCAATAGTGGAAATAATCAAATTTTTCATGCAGTTTGCGGCCATTTTCTACTGACCAGAGTGAGAGCCTATAGATGGCTGCCACGAATAGGCAGGAAGATTCTATTGGCCAGCATGTGAGCCAACAGCTAACTGACACGAATGTTAACTAGCATAAAAAAAAAAAAAAAAAAAAATTGATAGTTGCATTCGTCACAAGGGTAAAAAATTTAAATCTGCATGGCACTTTACTCCAATTGGCTCATTTGCAACATTGATTCTGATTGCGCAGAACTGGGTTGGGTGTGAAAAAGTATTTGTTGTTAACATTCTTTTTTCATTCGGTTTTTCCAGTTACGAGTCCTTTTTTAAACCTGATTGTCTTATGTTCATTTTGTTTAGTTCTTTTTCATAACAGATTTAATGTTTAGTATAGAGCTTAGAAAAAATTCGCAGTGTGAGAGAGGCAAGAAGTAAGGCATGTAGCAACATCAGCATGGCAAAGGGCACTCGGCAAGGAAGGGCAAAAATATTTTAAGTCAAGTGACAGTGATTGCTGTACAAGTCATGCGAAAAGCATTTTTGAATCAAGCACGGGCAACTATGCTGCTAGTATATATATATATATATATATATATATAAAGAAATGGACAAAGTCTGACAATTTATTTATTAAAGACATTTTTATGTTTAACGTTCTTTTTTATAGATACAAGTAAATGCTCTGTTTATAATAAACAGTATTAAATGACATTTACCGCCTGAATGTCCGAGAAATTTTCATAGAAAATATTAAGTCCTTTGACAGGATTCAACCTGCATCCTATACAGAACCGTCATTTATGCTGACGTGCCTTACCGACCCGACCACAAAGGGGCGTTAGGTAGACAAGGTCGAATTGAAGTTTATAAGCAGTAAATTCGACCTTGTCTACAACAACGCTTTGTGGCCAGTCATGGGAAAAAAAAGCTGTTTGATTGGAATTTATTCTCACCAATGGAATACAGAAGAAATGTTGGTGGTTTGCTACTATATAAGTGGCATGGTGGTGTTCTTATTCAGAAGGTTTGCCTCAGCAGGACCAGGGATGTAGTTTATCCGAGCTCTTTCCATGGAAGTAGTGGTTGACCAGTGAGAGGTTTGCCAAATCCCACCTGTGAGAGAGAGGTTGAAGGGTGGAAAATAATTTGTCACTCACAAGTGCTTGGAGACACTTTTGAACCCTATTAAGGCTGGAGATATGACAATAGTCCTCCATTTTTGGCTTGATCTAACTCTTCTAAAGTTAGAGGATAGCAGGAGGAGCAGTACAAAGAGCCAACCATTTTACTTGCATCCTCAGCAATGGATTGTATATATAAATTCCACTTGAGGCCCAATAGTCTTTCAAGGCATGGTGCTTCTCTGAGAGGTCATCCGGATTGGTGGTAGTTCAGGATCAGATCGGTGAGGATGGAACATAACTAGCTTGGTCTTGAAGGCACTAGTTTTTAACCCATTTGGGTAGTTTGTGCAAGATTGGAAGAGAAATTAGTCATCAATCTCTAACCATCGAGAGTTTTAGCAGTTCACCTACATATAGTCATATCATCAACATAGATGTTTACAAATGATCTTAGTATATTCTTAGGCAGATCATTTATGTAGATCAAAAAGAGGGTTGATACAAGGAGTGACTGTCCATTGATAACTACCTTCAGGGACCTACGTGTTGGGAAGGATTTTATGATAGAGAAGACACTTCCAGTGATTCCATAAGAGGAGAGTTTGTCTAGTAAACCTTTGTGCCACACCTTGTTGAAGGCCTTTCATATATCTGTGAGAGTGATTGTAGTTAGGATGTTGGCAGTGAATCAGGCCGACTGAAACCCACACTGCTTGTCGCTGAAGAGTTTGTTCTTTTCTAGGTGCTCAATATTATTGATTTTGGTCTCAAAAAGCTTTGCTGATGAGACTGATGGGTCTGCACTGAGAAGGGGGAAGATTGCATGCCTGTATTCTTGAAAGTAATTTTGCTAGCATTGGGGATAATTCCAATGTTCTTAAGGACAAAACACTGGAATTTTGTCTGGACCAATGGCTTTCTTAGGGTCAAGGCCTCTGATAAGTCTAGAAACTGCTTGTGCTGTGATGGTAGTATTACTGAGATTGTGCTCAGAGAGACATGGGAATTTGGGGAGGGGATGGTCTCTGTCATCTAACATGAAGTTAGAGGCAAAGATGAAGGCGAAGAGGTTTGCTTTATCTGTCAAGGAACATATGACCTCAGGGCCATTTATAATTGTGGGCACAGCTGCTTTACCTCTGTTCATGATTTTGTTGGTGATCTTCCAGAATTCATGGGATCCATTTTGTTGCTTTTCAACCTGGGTCTGGACTGCTCAACTGTAACTGCACTTGGTGTTTTCTAGAACATTTTTGCAGCGATTATGGCAGATCTGAATGCAGTGATGGCCGAACTACTTCGCTCCTTGCGATAGATACTGAAGTAGTGGTTTCGCCGAGTTATGGTTGCAGTGCATTCAGGAGTGAACCAAGGGTGACGACTGTTTGGTTTTTGCTGGAATTTTGGTGGGGGATATAAAACACTCCATTCCAGAAAGGATCCAATCAGTGACAAGGTCAGGAGTTTTGAAGGCAGTATGCTTGAAGAAGGTTGGGAGGGGAGCTTCCATCATATAAGACTGAAAGCTGTACCAGTCTGCGCCGATAGCTTGAAACAGTAGATCAGAGGATGTCTTAGGCTTGGCATCAATCTGGACACTGATTAGGGAATGGTCTGACCGTGCCTAGTAGAGGTTAAAACTTTTGAGATGGATATGTAATATAATTGGCCCTGATCTGGCGCCTAGCCTACAGTCACTCTCTCACAGACGCGTTGTCTTTTTCTACAAATACTTTCATGGTAATTGCCCGATGAGCTGCTTTCACTGGTTCCCAGACTCCATGAATTCAAGTGCCCCCTCTGAGGCTGGCATCCCGCCCCCACCCTTACACTGTAGAAACTTTTAAATGTAGCCGTCTCTTCTACTCTAATAGCTTCATACCTCGCACCTCTCGCCTGTGGAACACCCTTCCAAATTACTGTTTCCTGAGAGCTATAATCTCCGACTATTCAAATGTAATGTCAATCGACATCTCCAGTTACCTTGATCTACCCATTAATCCTTTCTTCTATCACTCCTATCTGTTCTTGCTCCAAATCTTCTGCAACCCTCTGCATCCTAGTGGCTTTATGCATTGCTCAAGGCGTGTTTAAAAAAAAAAAAAAAAAATTTTTTTTTTTTTTTTAATCAGGC